TTGGAGGAAGGGAGTGGTCACTATATGAATGACCAAGTAATCCAGGATTTTTTTAAACTTAAATAGAAGATCTTGAGAGCATCAATAGAAGTCTACAAAGTCATAAATAGCATAGCAGAATGACTGGGATTAATTTGTCACTGGTGTGAGTTATTAAGGGCAGTCACGTAAAAGATAAACACATTTGTTCATTTTGTAATGCTGTCAATAATAGATCTGTAGATTTGCCTGAATTAAACTATATTCTTTAAATGTTTGCATGGCTTTGGGGGAGGAAATGAGCAAATGTATGGAAGAGAGATGCTCTGCATGTTGTTAAATACACAAAAGCAAGTCCAGTACAGGTATTTTTGACATATTTTTGTTTGCGTCTGAATTGAGGTACTTCATAAACAAGGACATATCACTTTATTTGGAAAAGGGTGGTGTAAGGAACTATTCAAGCACTAGATAGGAATTCTGCAGAAAATTCAAGGGGTCAAATCTAATTCCTCTGAGAACCATCTGAGCTTTTCAACATTTCCCATTCTCATTCATTTCACTGACTCCTGTATCAGATGAGACAGGATAACTGTCTCCAGAACTCTTCTGTGTACAAGCCTGATTGTTTTCTAACGATCAATCTACCCTATCCATTAAATGAAGCAAATATGTCTCAAAATATACTACAGGAAGATGCAATCAAATTTGTAATAAGAGAAAGTGTAATTATAGTTGTATAGACAAATAATGTTTTTTTTATTAGAGTGATAATCTGATTTGCTTTTTTCAACTAAAGTACAAGCATTTTTTGCCATATTTATATAAATGTAAACTGAACAGCAATTCAGACTAGCTGACAGGATTCACTCCCTAGTTTATCCGTGAGGATAAGCTTACTTTGGTGAAAAGGGTAGTCAAAATGTCTATTTTTTTTTCCTCAAATACAGTTTGTGTATGTGATAAAGAGAGAAATACCTTAGTTTCTGCTCTGACTTCTTAGCATTTTAGATTGCTGTCTTTTATATAAACAATTTATTTTTTTCTTCCGCATTCTAAATGTGGTACTATTAAAGGAGGAGGAGGATGAAGAGAATTAAGAGATTTCTGTGATTCAAATGAGGTGAGTATAAATGAAAAGGAAAAAGAGTGAAGAAAGAACCTCAGCAAGAGGTTCTGGAGAAGTTGGTAAAGGGACTATAGCCTGGTGCTCTCGAAGTATATGTGCCCTGCACTTCTCTTCCTATCATAGGAGCATGAGTTAGTGGATTCATGTCTTGAGCATGCGCATATCCACCTTTCTGAGTCAAATTTTCTCTGGCAGTTTTTCTTTGGTGGGAAAAGGCATTGCACTTTGTCGCTGTCTGGGATGTGTGGGTGAGGAAGTGGAGTGAGTGGAGCATAAGCACTGAGGAATTTCTGATGCAGGATTTAGAGGCAAGTCGAGTGAACACGAAGTGTTTTGCTGAAGAGAGTAATTTTTGTGAAGCAAAGGTCCAAAAGAAGCTGCAAGAGGTTGGGGCAGCTGGCAGCCACTTGCACATAGGACTCTCTTGAGATTAAAGAAAGTGCAGGATTCACCATGAACATTTCTTCTGAAGTGGGTGCAGGGGGGAGATCTCCCAGTTAGAAGATGAGAAAGGTGCTTGGTGGGGCTGGCTTTCTCCCACCTGCCTGCAGAGTATGACAGGTTATCAGTCTCTTGCCTTTACTGCTCCCTTACCGTATCCCTGAGAATTGGGAGATATCACCTACTGAAAGGACTGCAGGTAGTGCAACTGTCTTGTGCAGAAGATATCAATGGTGGCTTACTTATTTTGGGAGATCTCTACTGAAAGTTTTTATCACCTTGCTTTAATCAAACAATTTTAGTGCTTTTCTTTCTCATACTTTCTATATAGCCTAGAGATTCAGGCTTAATCCTTTTTTTTTTTTTTTTT